AACTTCTCAGGGGCCTGTGGGAGGGCTCGCGGATGCATTCCGAACTTCTGGGTGGCCTTTTTGGGGCGTCATGGAGGATTATTGGGGCCTCTTGAAGGCACCTCGAAGGCGTGTTGCGGGGCTCTTGGGGCCATCAGGGGGCGAAAGGTTCGCAATATCCGTGAGTGTTTCCTTTCTTGGGCCTCTCGGGGCGTACTTGAGCCGTCTCGGGAGCCGTCTGAGGGCCTTCTTGGTTCGTCTTGGGGTCTGTTGGGAGCCTCATCAGCATTCTTGCGACAATTTGGTGGGTCCCTGGGCAGCCTGAGAAACTGTCAAGACGATCCAGCTGCCTGCGGCAAGTTCTGCCATTGTGCCAGCCCAGCCTTCCGGATGGCGGCTGTTCGAGGGTGCACGGGATGCCGCTACATGTGACACCTCGTGTCTCCAGGCTTGCGAGAGTTGTGAAGAGCATGATGAGGATCATAGGGATGACGGTGGTATTGACGATGATGCTAATATTGATGACGATTAGGGTGATGACGATAATGATGATGTTGATGATGATGATAATGATGATGATGATGATGATGATGTTGATGATGATGTTCACGCTGATGTTGATGATGTTGATGATGATGAAAATGATGATGATCATGTTGATGATCATGTTGATGATGATGATGATGATGATGATGATGATGATGATGATGATGATGATGATGATACGGGTACTGGTGTTATTGATGCTGATTATGTTGCCGCTGATGATTATGGTGGAGGTGGTGGTGATAGTGATCTTGATGCTAGTGAGATGATGATGTTGATGCTAATCGGATGGTGACCATAATGATGATGATGCTGATGATGATGACGACGCTGATGATGAGGATGAGGATGCTGATGCTGATGATTATGGTGTTACTGCTGGTACTAGTGTGAATGATCACGGTGCGTATGGTGAGGTTGATGGTGCAGATGAGAGTGATGTTGATGATGTTGGTGGCGATGGTGATGGCGAGGCTGTTGCTGATGCTGATGGCGATGGTGACGTGATGCTGGTGCTGATGCTGATGCTGCCGATGATGATGACTGCGACAATGACGACGATGATGACGACGATGTTGATGATGATGCTGATTCTGATTATGATGGTGATGCGTCCGATGACGATGATGATAGCCATGATGCTGTTGATGTTGATACTGATGCTGATGCCGATGCTGCTGATGCTGCTGCTTATGATGATGGTGATGATGATGATGCTCATGATCATGATTACATTGCTGCTCATGCTGATGGTGAAGTTGATGATGATGGTGATACTGATGCTGATGCTGATGAGGATGATGATGATGCTGATGATGAGGATGAGGATGATGATGATGCTGATGATGAGGATGATGATGATGAGGATGATGATGATGATGAGGATGAGGATGAGGATGATGATGATGATGACGGCGATTCTGATGGTGGTGATGATGACCAGGCTCGTTTGGGCCATCTTAGGGCTGTCTTGGCCTCCTCTGAGGCAGTCCTGGGGGTCCCTTGTGGCCTCTTGGGCCGCCTTGTGGCCTTCCCACGCCTGCTCAGAGCTCCCTTCGGCCGTCGTGGGGCCATCTTGGCGCCGTCTTGGGCAGTCGAATGGCCTTCTAAGGCCGTCTGGGGTCCAACGGTAGGCCCCCTTCGGCCGTCTTGGGGCCGCTGTGGATGCTTCCTGGGCCATCGTGGAATTCTCTTAGACCTCCTTGAGCTGACGGGAGCCCAAGTCACGGAATCATTCACAACCCAAGTGGTTTCAATGATGATGTCTTCTCCTGACTCTGTTGGAGGTCCTCTTGTGGCCATTTTGAGCCCTCTTGAAGGCATCTTGGGCCGTTTTGAATGGATATTCGGCCGCATTGGGGCCACCTTCGGCCGTCTTCGAGGCATCTTGAGCCATCTTGATGTTATTGGTTGCCTGCGCGGGCCATTTTCTGAGCTCGGGACGTATATTCCTAAGTTTTGCAAGGGATCGTGGCTTCGGAGGCTCTGGAGGGCTTGGGAGCAGCGCCTGGGAACGCGAAGAGTTTACGATCCTCGTGCGGGTGAGCGTGGGATGAGGGGTCTAGGAAGTAGCAGTCATGCAGGAAGTGCACAATCCTCGAGTGGGGGCGAACGGAATACGGTTTCAGGTGTTAGGTGCCATGCGGGACGTGCACCATCGTCGAGCGGGTACCCGAGGAATGGGGGTTTTGGCAATAGCTACCACGCAGTAAGTGCGCCATCCTCGAGCGGGCACGAGGGAAATTCCCTCGGTGAGTAGCGGAGGTGAACGCGGGAGTCCACGGGTAAAGGGAGGGGCCGTCCCTGATTAGAGTTCAAAAAGCCGTACCAGACAGAACTAGGGATTCTTTCAAGCCTCAACGTGCCAGGTGGCACGGTGGTGGAAAAATGAAATCGTGTTGAATACGCATGTTTTCCGAAGGGGATGGCAGGATGCTTGCCTCTTGGGGCCATCTAGCCGCTTCTCTTGGAACACTTTTGGGCCGTCTTGGGGGTCTTGTGGGCCGTCTTGACATCATCTTAGGTCGCCGTGGAGCTACCCTGGCCTGTGCCGACGCTCTCATCGACGGTGTTGGTGCTTTGTCAGGGTTTTCTTCCGGTTTCTTGGCAGCTCCCAGGGGCCCCGGTGGTGCGTTGGCGGACTCATACCCTCCCCCCGCTCACCCACCCCTCGAACGGAATCATGGACGCCAGGGGAGGGGGGAAGGGGGAAGGGCACAGCGAAAATGTTCCTTACGGGGGTTGGCGGGCACCCAGCACTACACATGCGACTACTGTTCGATCAGTACGATAGATACTACGACTACTATTTCTATAACTAGCACTAACTATTGTAATTACTACGACTACTACCACCGACACAACGACGACGAGTACTACTACGACTACTACGACGACTACGACAGCGACGACTACTATGTCGACGGCTAATACCCGTACTACCACTAATACGATCACTACAACGAATAGAATTACGACAACGACTATTACTCCTACTACCAATCTTATCACTACGACTACGACTGCTACAACTGCAGCTGCGACAACTATTCCGTTCAATCTTACCATTACTACTATTATTAGTAGTACGACGTTTGCTACTACCACTCGTACTCCTATTTCAACTACTACTACTTCTACTACTGCTACGGCTACGATTCTTACTACGACTATGCGTATTCTTATTACAATTACGATTACGACTACTAATATTAGTAGTACTACTACTACGACGACGACGACTACTACTACTACTTCTACTACTACTACCACTACCACTGCTACCACTGCAAGGCTTATTTCGGCTGCCTCTGGTGCTGCTACTGCTGCTGCTGCCACGGTGACTACTACTACGACTACGACGACGACTACTACTACTACTACTACTACTACTACTACCACTGCGACGACTACTACTACTACGACTACTACCGCTACTAGGCCCCGTATCATTCTTACATATACACTTTGTACTACTACTACTGCTGCTACTACTACTACTACTATTACTACTACTACTACTACTACTACTACTACTACCACCACTACTACTACGATTGCTACGCATACGATTACTACTACTACTACTACTATTACTACTACTACTACTACTACGACTACTACTACCACTACTACTACTACTACTACTACTACTACTACTACTACTACTACTACTACCACTACTATGAACACTACTAGTACTACCACTACTATGAACACTACTAGTACTACTACCACTACTCCTACTACTACGACTGCTACTACTACTACCACTACTACTACTACTACTACTACTACTACTACAGCTACTACTTCTACTACTACCACTGCTACTTCTACTACGACTACTAGTACCACTACTACCTCGACTGCGCCTACTGCGGCTACTACGAGGACTCCTGCGAATACAACTATTACTACGACAACAAGTCCTACTCCTACTTGTACACTTGCTTCTTCTATTACTACTACGATTTCTGCTGCTACTACTCCTACTACTACTTCTACTACCCTGACAACGAATACTCCTACTTCCCTGCAGATTTCTACTGCTACTACGGCTACTACCTTACTGCTACTACCAATACCACGACCACTGCTACTTCTACCACTACTATTACTTTTGCTACTACTACTTTCTACTACGACCACTACTACTACTACTACTACTACTACTAGCACTTTTTTCTTATTTTTTACTTGGACGATGACTTCTAGTACTACGACGACGACGACGACTACGATTCCGGCTCCGAATCACTACTACTACGACTACTACTACTATTGCTGCTGCTGCTACAACAACAACAACTTTTACTACTACTACTACTACTACTACTACCACTACTACTACTACTACTACTACTACGACTACTACTACTACTACAACTACGAGTATTATTTGTATTACCACTACTACTACTACTACTACTACTACTACTACTACTACTACTACGACTACTACTAATACTACTACCACTACTATTACTACTACTACTACTACTGCTACTACTACTACTTCTACTACTACTACGACTACTATTACTACTACTACTACTACTACTACTACTACTACTACTACTACTACTACTACTACTACTACTTCCACCACTACTACTACTACTACTGCTACTACTTCTACTTCTACTACTACTACTACTACTACTACTACTATTACTACTACGCTTACTACTACTACTACTACTACTACTGCTACTACTACTACTACTATTACTATTACGACTACGCTACTACTTCTATGACTACTCCCACTACAACGATGACGACGACTACTCCTTCTGTTTAACCACTACCGCTGCTGTCACGACCCCGAGTTCACGCGTTGGGAGTTCAATGACCTACTGTTTGGGGTTGCGGTGGCTAGCACATGGTGGCCCTTGGCCCCCGAAAGGGCCTCCAGAGACCGAGATAGTTCCGAAATCAGCTTCGTGGTTTGTTTTGAGCGGCGCCTGGAGGTCCAGCACATCGAAGAAGCAGAAGCTCGAGTCCTCGATCGACAAGTTGTCCGCGGATATCACCATCTGCGACAGCAAGATCAACCAGCTTGCTGAATCGGCGGCTTCAGCCAGCAAGGATCGTCTCCCCTCCTCCCCCTGCTTTTCCTCCTCCTCCCTTCACTGATACTCCTCTCGCCTACTCCTCAAGTCTAGGTGAGGAAGAGGCGGAGGGGGGACAAGAGGGCGAGTGCAAGCTAGGTGCGCTCGCGCCATATCTGGCATCCTATCCCTCTCTCGCATCCTTCCCAGTGCGCCGATCGTTTCACTATCCGCGGACGCGTTTCACAGTCGACTTAGAAGATCACACAAGACCCCATCGTGTCATGCGCAATCAGAAAGAAAAGAAACTTGTAGGACCTGTGAGACCTGTGGGAACAGTTGGACTTGTAAGACCTGCGAGACCTGTGGGACCTGTGGCATTGGCGTGTTGCTGGACCTGTGTGACTTGCGGGGGCCTCTGTGAGACCTGGGAGACATGCGCCACCTTTGGGACCTGTGGGACCTGCGGCACTTGTCGGACCTGTGGGACCTGCTGGGCATGCGAGACCTGCGACACTTGAGGGACCTGTGGAACCTGCCAGGCTGGGGGTACCTGTGCGACTTGCGGAGAATCGACCTGCAAGAACCAACAAGATTGTATGGGAGTCTCCCACGAGTTGCGACCGAAGGACCCTTCTCCCCCGCAGTCCCATCCTACTCCTCTTTCCTCCTCCTTCCGTGGGGGCTGTCCAGCAGTTCTGCGCCGGCACGCCTGCGGCAGCCGTGAACAGCTGCGTCGGGCCAGCCACAGCCAGCGGCAGCGATTGCGGGCCACATCCTCCAACGAACCGGGCAGGGACAATAGCAATGACGATTGGCACATGCTCCTGCAATCGACGGTAATGGGGACGTGCACCTGCGGCTTGTGGCGGGCAAGGCCGGACGACGACTACGCGTTCGACCACGATTGGCTGAATCATAAGGCTGCCAGCGGCAGCGGCCGACGACGGCGTGACGATGGCGAGTGGCGTATCCGCTTGCACTCTGAGGTGGTTGTGGCCGCTCACGCCAATCCGCTGCGCCCAGCCCGAGGCGACAATCGTGAGATGGGGGCACCCACTTGAGCGGAGAACCCACCCTGGTGGGCTGGCTCGAAAGCGCTCCACGGCGCACACTCATCTCGAGTCGGAGCCGAAGCAAAAGTCAGAGTGCACTGGGCCCACCATGCAGTTCGGGCTGACAGCACATCGTTGAGCCTTACTGCAGCCTCCCCACAGCTTTTCTTGACAAGCGGGGGCAGGCGCGACGCGCAGCCGCGGGCGCCCGGCGAAGCCCGGGTCAGTCCGGGGCCTTCGCGAGCTCCGCGAGGCGCTGCGCCGCGAGGCGTGCTAAGTCCGCCCCGCTGCCCCCAGCGAAGGGTAATTCTCCGAGAAGGAGCGTCGCCTGCCCGCGCGCGGGCAGCCTGCCCCCAGCACGCCCCCCCACCCCCAGACGGTGCCCAGCGGCCGACCCGAGCGATAGCGGGACCAGGGCTGGACCTAAACAGTGTTTTTGGTGACCTCATGGGCCGTTGTCGTTTCGATGTCTTTCTGCGGTAAAGGCGGATTCGAGACCAAATCGAGGGAAAACGAAGACGAAAACGAAGACGAAAGACCGCATCGAAAACAAAACGAAACCGAAGCGAACGCATCGACACCAGCGAGGGAGAACGAAGACGAAAACGGAGCGACGGTGCCCGGCATCCGAGTGCAGGCTCGGTGCCGCTATCTGCCCACCGTGCGGGCGCCCCGTGGCCCCGCGCGGCCGCCGCCTTCATCTGCGCGGCGCTGCGCTCCCGCGGGGGCCAACGGAGAGCCTCGCGCAGCACCGCGAGGAGCGCACGAGGGTGCTGCTCAGGAGGCGACTCCTGGGAGGTTTTCGTCGGAAAGACGAAGGAGGATGAAGCCCCTTTTCGGAGCTGTTACGCCGGAGTGGGTCTCGGACTAAGCAGGATTAAGCCGCATTGAGCGGGATTAAGCCGGATTCAACGGGATTAAGCCGGATTAAGCCGGACTTCGGACCAGGATGATGCTTTCGGATGCAACTCCTGGGGGGTCAAATTCTGGTTTTGCCTTGGTCAGAAGTCCGACGTAGTCCGGCTGAATCCCGCTTAATCCGGTTTAATCCCACTTAATCCCGCGCAAGGCGGCTTAATCTTGTTTAGTCCGAGACCCACTCCGGCGTAACTGCTGGGGCTGATTTTTCCTTTAATTTGTCCGACGAAAACCTCCTAGTAGTCGCCTCCTAAGATGCTCTGGCCGGGCCCACGGCCTCCTGAAGGAATCATGGTGGCCTCTTCGTCGAGGTGGATGTTGGCTTGGGCACCCCTTCCCCTTCCCCATGCTGCTCAGTGGCTGGCCCCGGCGGAAAAGCAGGCTGGAGCTGGACTCCTCTGTCCCCGCTCTGTCCCCTGCTGCCCTTGCTCCTCTCCTGCACGGATCCTTGAGCACGTGCTCTACGTGTTTTGAGGGCAGTTTGACACGTTGGCCTGTTCGGATTTCGGGCTCTTTGGTGTGGTGGAGGTTTGCGTGTGTGTGTGTGTGTTTGTATGTGTGTCTGAATGTGTGCGCATGTGTGTGTGCGTGTGTGTATCGGTGTGCTTGTGCGTGTGTATGTGTGCGCGTGTGTGTTAGTATTAGTTTAGTGTTCGTGTTAGTGTTAGTGTTAGTTTTTGTGTTCGTGTTAGTGGTAGTGTTAGTGCCAGTGTGAGTGTTAGTGTGTGTGTGTGCGTTTGCGTGTGTATGTATGTATGTGTGTATGCATGTGTGTGTTGGTGTGTATGTGTGTGAGTGTGTGTGTATGTGTGTGTATGTGTGTGCGTGCCCTCCTGCAGGTGTGTAGCTGGCAGGACGGTGAAAGGTGGGAGCGGAAACGCCTGGTGAATCGTGAAGGGGGCAAGGCTCCGCCTCCGCAACGGCAGCGGGCACTGATCGGAATGTAAAGGTCACATCGAGGACGCGCTCTGAGAGGGCTTGCGCGCGGACTTTCTCGGGAGGTAGCGGGAGGACAGCAGCATAGGTTTACATCTGCGCCAGCTCGAGCAGCACGAAGAAGCTATAGAACCATGAGGCCCGTGGCGGAGGGCAGCACGCACCTGGCCACGGTGATGCCAGGTGCTTTCGCCTCGCCAGCGCACAAGCCTGCGGCGAAGGGCAAAGAGGAGAGGGCAGGGGGACGACGCGACGGGCGCGCGGCAGTGGAGAAGCGCTGCCCTCCCCCCCTTTCGGATGCAACTCCTGGGAGGTCAAACTCTGGTTTTGCCCTGGTCCGAAGTCCGGCTCAGTCCGGCTTAATCCCGCTCAATCCCGCTTAATCCGGTTTGAGCCCGTTTAGTCCCGCTTAATCCGGCTTCATCCCGCTTGATCCGAGGCCCACTCTGGCAGAACATCCCCCCAATGGGGCTTAATCCTCCTGAATCCTCCCGACGAAAAGCTCCCAGCAGCTGACCCCCCCGCAGAAACAACGAGGCACAGGACTTCGAGCGCGTGGTCTGGCGCTGCGGGGCGGCCAGCAGGCCGCAGGGTCGACCGCAGGATGCGCTGCAGCGGCGCCTGCACTGGCCGACCGGCCTGTAGCCCGGGGCGGAGGCGGGTGCTGGAATGCTCCGGTGGGCCGTCGCCTTTCACCACCCACCAAACCACCCCAACCCAACCCGAAGGCTCAGATTTGCCCTCGATTTCTAGTGGGGGGGGGTCTGGGAACATCGAAAAAACACATGTGGAACCCTTACCCCCCCCAACCCGAAATTCGGGTCTTCGGGTTGGGTTGGGGTGGTCTGGTAGATAGTCAGCCTTCGAGTTGTGGCGACAGGAGGAGGCCGCTGAGGGCACGGGCAGCACGCGCACGGACAAGCGAGGATAGGAGGAGGAGGAGGAGGAGGAGGATAGGATAAGGAGAGTGAGGACAGGATAAGGAGGAGGAGGATAGGACAAGGATAAGGATGATGATGATGATGATGATGATGATGATGATGAGGAGGAGGAGGAGGAGGAGGATAGGATTAGAAGGAGGAGGAGGAGGAGGAGGAGGAGGAGGAGGAGGAGGAGGAGGAGGAGGGGTCGGAGGAGGAGGAGGTGGGGTCACAGAGGAAGAGCACGGAACCACAGAGGAATGGATGACAAGATAGAGGCAGAGGGAAGAAGGATAGCAGGGAAGAGGAACTAGGAAGCAGGTAACGAGTCTCATGTCTCATATGTGCGATGGCGTGGCGCTACGGAGCACATCATTAGAGCTTGTGTGTGTGTGTGGCGCCAGCACCTCGGCACGACGGTGTGGACAGCATGCCCCAAGGGGGGTCAGAGCCCGAAGAAGAGGCAGAGGACGCGAGGACGCAGAGGAAGAAAGCATAGTGGGAAGGAGGACGAGGTAGAGGAGGAGAGGGGACACATAGCAGGGAAGTGGAAGTGGAAGCAAGTAATGGAGTGCACAATTCACATGTGCACTAGCATGTAGTTGACGTGTACACAATTTAAGCGTGTGCCCCGCAAGGACCTCGACGCAGAGGAGGGAAGACTTGCAGGGACGACTTGCAGGGAGGAGAGAGGTAGAGGCAGAGGAGGGAAAACTTGCAGGGAGGAGAGAGGGAGAGGAGGAAGAAAGGAAGCATTTTCACAGATGTGCACTGTTATGAAGTTGCAGTGTACATCATTCAAGCTTGTGGCCCGCAAGGACCTCGACGCCGCCACTGCAATCCGGAAGAAAGAGGCGGCGGAATTCGAGTCGAACGAGGCGGAGCTCATGGACACAGTGGACAGTTTTCGCATCCCCTTCTTTTTTCTTCTTCACCTTAGGGCAGGCATGGGTCCTAAATGGGCATGACTCGGCAGCCAGGCGCCCCGATTTGTTCGTCGTCCTTTTTTTTCGAGACGAGGAAGGTCTTGGCCAAGCGTCGTCTGACAACCCATCAGTGTGAGGTAGTCTGGACTGGGCGGCTTTGAAGAGAAAAAGGCCATGGCATGCTGACCAGCTGGCCTAGGTGGGCGCCGACCAGAAATTTCATCAGGTGCCTTGAGCAACCATGCTCTATGCTAGAGCCTCCAGCGTCGTTGAAACACAACTGCCGCATTGTATTTTTAGTGTCGGGCCCATGACGCTTACAGCGAAATGCTTGGGTCGGGTGTTCTTGCAGTGTTTGCTTCGGAACGTCATGTGCGCGGTTGGGTTACCAAGGCATGGGGTTGCGGGTTTTTTTGATGTTTTCGTTCAACCGTGATGTATGGTGAACACGTGAAGGCGACCTGTTTGAAGCGAGGCATCCTGATACCACCACGACAAATACTCACAAATCCCGTGGCGCGGACATGCCCGCAAAAGTTGACTGTTTGCCGGAGCAACCAGCATCGCTCGTTCTCTTCGCTGACCCACCTCTTGTGTGCGAGGACACCTTGAAGCGTGCCGTCAGCATTGTCACCAAGGAGATGGAGAAGAACCCTGCCTCTTTCGCTCAGATCGACAACTCCAACTTCAAGGCCGTGATGCAGTCGCTCAGCGCCGTGGTCGACGCAGCGTCGCTGTCCGCCGCTAACAAGGAGAGCCCCAGGGAATCAGCGTGGAATGTGCACGGAGAATCTTCAATGAGGAGAATGGGTGAAGGAAGGAAGCCTGCGCCACTCGCAGTTGCGCGAAGATGCCGCGCTTCACGCGTCGCCGTCTGGACTGCATGAGTGCTCGTGTCCTGTGTGTGTGTGTGTTTGTGTGTGTGTGTGTGCGCGGAGCGCGAAGGCTAGGCTGTCCAAACCGTTCCGCGTAATTGTTTACTCTGCCCTCGAGGACAAACTGATGGCGCTGGTGCAGTCCTCGTCGCAGAACCAAGACTCTGGAGACGATGAGCTGTCGGGCGCACCAGCCGCGGCAGTCTACAAGTCGCACTCCGCTGGGCTCGTCGACCTGATGGAGGACCTCCAGGAGAAGGCGGAGGAAGATCTCGGTGCCCTCCGGAAGGCGGAATCGAACGCGAAGCAGAACTACTTGATGCTGAAGCAAAGCCTGGAAGACAGCATGAGCAACAGCGGCAAGGACCTCGACGATGAGAAGGCAGCAAAAAGTGCCGCCGAGGAGGAGAAGGCCGGTCACCAGAAGGAGAGGAGATTGTAAACGTGACGCCCACACGAAATGTGGCTAGCCACCCCAAGGCCATTGCGACAGCAAATTTTTGCCACTATATACTCATACGACCACCTTTCGGATGATAAGGAGGTTGGGGTGTGGGGGGGAATCACCAACTGCAGGCAAATGCGATGGATGTGATGATGACGATGCTGGTGACGCGCCCTCGAGTTATTGACGACGCGTGATGACGACTACCGCCCCCGTCTTCGCTCTCACTCGATCGATCTCACTATCAACCTCGCGGCCAGTCTTAGTACGAATGGATTCAGCGAACGATCCCACCAGCGATCTCACTATCGATTCTTCCATCAATCTCACTACCGATCCCACTGTCGATTTCATTATCGATCTCACAGCCAGTGTCACAATCAAGCTCACTGTCGATCTCACTTTGGATCTAACTTTCCATCCCATTTTAGCGTGGCCACCGCCGACGGAACACCAATGGGACACCAACGGTACACCACAGGACATCACGGCGAGACACCCTGGGCCAGCGTGCGCCCACCGGTGGCTGAGGGGCGGCCCATTGCATCCGAATCGCCCTAGCGACGGCGGGGGAGGTCCTTTAGCGCGCCCACGCAGCTTCACAACGCCCGCACGTGCGCCACGAACCCGAAACCGAAACCGATTTCCTTGTGGGAAGATCTCCGTCCCACCGCGATCTCACCCCTCAACTTCCGATGAACATACAGCAGCCTTCAGAAGTGATTCCTTGGTGATCGCTCGTGTGAGTGGACTTGGAGAAGCACTAGTTTGCCGAGCTAAGAAAGGGGATACGCCAATCAAACCAAGAAGCTGATCAGCGCAAGCAGCCTAAACAAATCGTCGAGGGGGAGCTCGGAGCCATCTCGGGGTTCCATTAGGGCCCTTTCTGGAGCTTCTTGGTGGGGCCCTCGAGCATGGCGGGGAAGGGCAGGGCAAGTGTAGGAACTTGAAGGATGCGGGGCCGCTGCCTGATGTTTCCATTGGAGTGCACAGTCAATGCAGGCTGCTGCAGGGTCGCTACGCAGGGCCATCTAGAGGAGAAGTTCTGCTGGATAGTGCATCTGACCCATCTGACTCTTGCTCTCCAGTTCTTCAAGGTCTCCCAATCGAGGCGTGAGAAAATCTACGATTTTCCAATGGAGTCTAGCCAGGCTCTGTGCCCGCATAAAGTGCCAGAGTGCCCCCGTGAGGATCTCAGCGTCGTCATGAAGGCCCTGGAGGGGGCAGAGAGCATGCTCGCGATGATCAAGTCGGAGTGCATGTCGGTGGCGGCAGACCATGAGGCTTCGGTAGCCTCCAGGGCCGAGGACCACTGGTAGGGCAAATTGGAGCCAAGGTCGGATGGGGCTAGGACGAGGATAAATCCGTTTTAGAGGGAAGGCTCTCAGAGCATTCCTGAACGTTCTGGGAAGGCCGCGGCGCTGGAGACATCCTCCAGACCCCCCCGATCTCAGAGATTCTCGATTTATCCTCACCCGATGTTATCCTCGTCCTAGCTTCGTCTTATCTTAGCGATTAGAGGCAGGCGCCAGAGATCAAAATGGAGCTAGGGGCGACGGGACCCTGCGCACTGCACAGAGGAAATGAACCGCAAGCGTGGAGACGTAGAAACACGGGCGGAATTTCAAGCAATGCGAAGGCGAAGGAAACTGCGACGGTAAAGCCCATGCCGGGCTAGATCCGTCCAGCTCCTTGGGGTTAGTGGAAGCAAGTTGACAGCAACAGGGGCACGGCCACCACTCGCCCAGAGAGACCTCTGGAGTGGAAGCAACATACATTTCAGCAGGCAGCGCAGGGAGCCATCCAGAACGCATTGCGTCCTTTGAGAGGCCTACGTGTGTTCTTCCCCGGGGGGATCTTCGTCGAGGGGGTTCAATACCACGCTGGCGTGCCCGCCTGGATTGCCCGAGCTACTTGTGAAATTGTCCTGCCCATCCATGGGTTTCTGCAGCCGCCCGTCGGGAGGCGTCGATGAAGAGCAGGGGCGGCATAAGTGAGCAGGAGGGAGGGACGGGATGGGCGAGGAGGAGTATACAGGTGAGGAGCGGGAGAAGTTAGCATGAGGGACGGGAGACGCTTGTATGAAGAACCGGGACAGCGCGGCAAGGACGAAGTTGGCAGGAGGACGACGATCTTCGCTGCAGCGTTTGCCTGATGTGTTGCGGGTGTTTATCCGGGCCGTTGGGTGTCGCCTCCGCCACGCCCCCCACTCTCCGGGCACGTGGGGGGGGGAGGAGGAGGCAAGAGGAGAGACATCAGCGAGAGGAGAGAACAGGCGACGGAGAAAACAAGGCAGAGGACCCTTGGGAGGATGAGGAGGGGGGATGGGATGGAGGAGGCGAGGAAGTAGGAGGGGGAAGGAGGAGGACGAGGAGAAGAACCACAACCTCTCCCTTGCAATGGCTTGAGTCCTGCCGTATTTCTAGTCTACGCCCAGCCGTCGTTGTCGCGTGCGCTTGTCGGTACTGACTGTGCACGGCAGCCAAAGCTACGCAAACGGCAAGATATCAAGAAAACAAAGGCGCGGAGGAGGAGAAGGAATCGGAGGCGGAGGCGGATGGTGAGAGGGAGGAGTCCGAGGGCATTACGAACAAGAGGGGTGGGAGCAGAGTGAGGAAGGACGAGGCGAACAGGGTGTATGGAGAAACAGGAGGGGGGGTGGGATGAGGTTGAGGGCAGGGGGGGGGGGGAAAGAAGGAGGGGAGTGGGACGAGGGCGGGGGCCGAGGGAGGAGAAGGATCTGGAAGCTGGAGGGGAACGACGAGGCACACGACGACGGCGACGACGTCGGACACACGACCGCTGGGGCGCGAGGCGTGCAGGCCCCAGGCTGCGCACAGCGCGCGCCTGCAGGATCTGCCAGGCGCCCCGCGCCATCCCACGGGCTCAGCCCAGGCGGTGTAGGGTTTAGGGTTTAGGGTTTAGGGTTTAGGGTCTAACAGGGCAAGGCCAGGAATACCTACCTGCATAGGCACCCACCTGCGGTGGCTATCAATCCCCCCCCCGCATCTCCACCCCCACATAAAGATCATCTCTCCTCTCATGTTCGACCGTGGCTGTAGCAGAGCATAGCATGCCGAAACAGATAGGCGCTGCGAGGCGCGCGCGCCTGCCGCGCGCATGTGCTCTCTGTCGTTTGTTTCTGCAATGGATTATTGACGTGGACACATCTTGCAAGAGCAAACTGTTGAGTTTATATTAGTTGTTTCAATGGAAAGGACACATCAGAAACGAGGCATGACCAGGATGTAGTATTTGTTGCAAAGGATGGAGCATGTTGAAAGGCAGAATGTTAAGGTTATATATTTTTTACAATATAAAACGCCGGTTTACATACGGGGCCGCAACCACGGTCGGGCACTTTGTATTGTAAAAAATCGGGTTTTCTGATCGCATGATCAGGCTATAGTATTTTTTGCAATGGAAAGGCCGGCGTTGCGACCGGGGCTGGGCACAAAGTATTGTAAAACATATGGTTTTCTGATCGCATGATCAGGATCTAGTATTTTTTGCATAGGAGAAAGGCCGACTTACATAGCGGCCGCTTTAGCAGGCTTCAGGGTTTAATAATTATAAGGATTAGAGATTTAGGGTCTAACAGGGCAAGGCCAGGAATACCTACCTGCATAGGCACTCACCTGCGGTGGCTATCAATCCCCCCCGCATCTCCACCCCCACATCAAAATCATCTCTCCTCTCATGTTATACCGTGGCTGTAGCATAGCATAGCATACCATAGCAAGCGTGGCTCGATCCAGGAGTGCGCCTGTGAGCAAGCGCTTAGCAAAGAGGCGGCGGCCGCGCGCGTGTGCACTTTGTCGTGTTTTTTTTTGTTGCAATGGAATATGAGCATGGCCACATTCGCCGTGCGCTCAAAAGTTGTTTGTGACGCCCCGATTTACAAACGTGGTGCAAAACCCATAGGTTTTTCAATGATTCAGGATGCACGCGGAGGTCGATCCTGCACAATTGTGGTATGAGAAAGTCATATGTTTTCATATGTTTTGCTGGTATCGCTTCTGAAAAAAAAATTGAAAACACATTGTGTTTCAAATGATTTCGCCATGATCGCGCGGCTGCCGCGCGCATGTGCACTCTGTCGTATTTTTTGCAATGGATTATTGTCATGGACACATCTTGCAAGAGCAAAATGTTGAGTTTATATGATTTTTTACAATGAAAAGTACACGTCAGAAACGAGGAATGATCAGGATGTATTTTTTTTTTTGCAAAGGATGGAGCATGTTGAAAGGCAGAATGTCAAGTTTATAATATTTTTTACCATATAGAATTCCGGTTTACATACCGGTTCGCGAACGGGACGGGCCACTTTGTATTGTACAAAATAGGGTTTTCTGATCGCATGATCAGGAAACTGTATTTTTTGCATAGGAGAAAGGCCGACCTGCATAGCGACCGAAATTTAAGTTGTTAGGAATTAATAATTATAGCGATTAGAGATTTAGGGTTTAGGGTCCACTAGCCCAAACTTGCAGCCCACTTGACCGTGTCCCACCCACCCATGACCCAAGACATATTGATCTCGATGCGGTATCAACACGCGACTCGCAAAACGACGACGAGGACGACACCGATGACGACGACGTTGATATTGTTTTCAAAACGACGACGACGCGGCCGCGCAAAATCACCTGGGACGCGGCTGCAACGGCGATGCGGCCCGCGCGCGTGACGACGCGATTTGAAGAACCACGTGTTTTGACGCGAGTCCCTGTGCGATGCAGGGACGCCGCCCAGCGGCGGAGAGGTTGCACGCAAGATCCACGTTTATTGACGCGAGTCCCTGTGCGACGCAGGGCCCCCCGCGGTCGCCGTGGGCGCGCCGCCCAGCTGGCCCGCGGCCGCCTGCGCCGCCGAAGGGTCGGCGCGCCACCCCGCGTCCGCCGGGCCGCCCTCCCGCGAGCTCGCAGAGGGGGGGCCGCAGCGCCCGCGGCCGCCTCGCCCGCCGCGGGGGCGCCCGGCGCCATTCCTGGCGCTCCGAGGCCAAGGATCTGCGTGAGGAACGCACCCTGGGATTTGCAGATCCTCCCAGAACGCCATTCCTGGCGCTCCGAGGGCAAGGATCTGCGTGAGGGGTGCGCCAAAATGGGGGGGGCGGCCGAAGGAGGGACTTTAGGGCGGCGGAAGGGCTTTTAGGATTTAAATATTTATAGGCTCTTAGTTTTTAGGGAAGCGGTGCCCAGGCGGGTTGCCCTGGTCAGGGGCCTGCGTGGCATCGCTCGGGCGTGTGCATGTTTCCTTCGGCGGGGACAATCCAGGAGCATCCTTGATCATTTGGGAAAAAAGCCACGCGCGAAACTGAAACAAAGCCCAGGAAATGGACGTCCGAGCGATGGCCAGGTGTGGGGGGGGGCACGCAGCGGAGCGAGGGGTTGGGGGCGCCCCCGTCAGCCAGGAGGGGGAGGATGGAGGAGGAATTGGAGGAGGAACAGGAGCGGGAGGAGGAGGAGGAGGAGGAGGAGGAGGAGGAGGAGGAGGATGGGGAAGGGGGGAGGATGGGGAAGGGGGGAGGAAGCCGGGTTAGGAGGAGGAACAGGCGGATGAGGAAGAGGAGGAGGAGGAAAGGCCAGAGGCCTTTTGTATGCTTCTCAAAGCTTCTTCGGATGTCTCTTTCGAGCTTTGTGTAGTCCTCTTGGGCCTTCGTGGGAGCCTTTGGGCGGCCCCGTTGGCCTCTTGGAGAGCAGTTGGTGCCTCGGGGGGGGCCTCTTGGGGGGGTTCGTGGGAGCCTCCTTGTGTCCTCTTGGGGCCCTCTTGGGGCCTCCTTGGAGCCTTTTGGGCACTCCTGGGGCACTCTTCGGAGTCTTGGGGGCCATCTTGGGGATGAAAAGAGGGGTGGATCCTCGATTAGCCCCCCCGCCCCACCAGGATGCCCATTGGCCGAACAGCGAAGGAAACTCAGTGACTTTTGCCTTCTAGCCGATGCTGTCTTCGACCAGCGACCCCCTCTGGTCTAGACCCAGGGGGACGGGGGAGGAGGAGGGTCAAGATAGCCTCCCCGCTGGCAAGCTGTCCCGCTCACTCTCTCCCACCCTCCTAACACATGAGTAGCACCCGCGCCTCAGCATGTTCAGCGGTCGCAATTTTATGTTCCAGCTACTGGGAACCAAAACAGACCCCATGTGCGTGTCGCTGGGGCAAGGTTCGCCACGCGTGCCAGGCGCCAGGTGCCCAAGCGTGCCAGGCACGCC